TTATTCATTAAAAGCTATTGCTTATTCAAAATTAAATCGTAATGATGAAGCTCATAAATTATTTAGTTGTGCAACACAATTATCAGATACAAATTTAACTCGTACATGGATTAATTGGGGTGATTTTCTTCTTAAACAATCATCAATTATTAATGATGATGAATCAATTATAATTTGTTATTTAAATGCATGTAAAGATGTAACTGAAATAAAAGCACGTTCAATATTATCAAAAATATTTTATTTACTTTCATATGATAATGAAAATAATAGTAATAAATTATCTATATGTATTGAACGTTATTTATCATTAATACCTGTTCAACATTGGCTTTTTTGGTTACCACAAATAATGAATAAATTAATACGTAATGAATCAAGTCAATGTATGTTAGCTATATTAAATGAATTAATACGTTTATATCCTCAAGCTGTTTATGTACAAATTAAAAAATTTTTAAGAAAATTAATTGAAAATAAAACTGATGAAAAATTAATACCATCAACACCATCAACATTAAATATTGATATTAGTTTAAATTTACCAACAATATCATATAGACAACAAGCAATTAATAATTTAAATCGTTTAGAACAAATTTTACTTGGACAACATCCAACAATTGTACGAATATTAGATATTATTATTGAACAATTAAATACAATAAATGAAACATTATTAGAATATATAATTAAACGTTTATATCAATGTCAAAGAAAAATTTATGAAGATTTATTTGAAAATAAAAAAGATTTATCTGAAGATATTAAACAAATTATTCAACATTTAAAAGAAATTTTAAATAATAATGAAAATGAATTGAAAAATATACAACAAATTAAAATACAATTTTCTAATGATTTTAATGAAAGGTTTGTTTCAATAATAGACTTATATATATATGAGAATAGATTATATTTAATATTAATGAATATCTACAAACAATTCTTTCAATAGAGATTAAGTTCTAGGAAATAAAACTTCTGAAGGATTGAGATCATTGTATTCTACTAATGACTCTACAACAATGTTTAACAATTCTAAATAGGACAGATTTGATTTGTTCATATCTTCTCTCCTCAGATTAGAAGATCTTCGCTAGAGAGACAATGTGTTGAACGTAATAGAAGATCGAGATTTTTCAACTACCAGTGGTGTCATTACATATTTTGAGATATCAGTGAAAACATGTTGTTATTATAACTAGTTGAATAGAAAAATCTCACTATTGTTAGATGTCCATACATATGTCAATATTTATTTTTTATTAATTATTAAAAGGAAAACAAGGAATTCAATCGATTTTGATCAAATCAAAATATACATTGAATAGTGTCAATACTATCCTTCTAGTAAATTTTTCGTCTAACCATGAAACTACTCAAACTGTAACCTGCCATTTGGAATCATATTGGACCTATAAGAAGACCTTGGTAGGACTAGTAAAAGCCTAAAATAGCTCGTCTCCATGAGCCTTAGGAGTTGACTGATGGCAATTTTAGATTTATTTTTAAGTATTTACTGGAAAATCAAGTGGTAAAATTTTTTTTGTTGAGATATTGCATATTCCAGTAAACTCGATTTTTGTGGCAAACGACTATTTTTTGAAAATTCAATATCTGGACAAAGGCACATTCTTTTCAGCTGAAGCTTTCAGGATAATTCTAAGGGCTATTTAGACCTATCTCTAGGCAAAACTTCAAATCAAATTTCCTTTTTTTTTTCATTGTTTAGTAAATGCTTAATAATGAATTGAAAGTTCAATCAGAACGTCCATAATTCGGCATCAAAGATCAATGAGTACAAACACTTTTAGACTTTTTCAAGACCTACTGAGACCTCTATGTGAGTCCAATATATAGCGTAGACGGTGGATTATAGCTAAGATAACTCCGTAATAAATGTCCTCTCTTCAATTAATTCCATGGTACAAGTAGAAGAGTTATTTTTCTCATCTTTTTTTTTTTATTCTTTTAGTGTACTTAACACTACTCACATATCTCGATCATTCATTCTTCTAATCAATAAATGGATAACTTTAATTGAACGTCGTATTGAACAAACAGAACCACGTACAAAATATTTAAATCAAATAAAATATTTACAATTATTATCATTTAATTCACAAATAACAAATGATATAAATATGCCTGGTGAATTATGGCATGCTCCTGAAGCAAATTTTTATTTTCGTATTAATAAATTTTTTCCAACAATTGAACGTATATTTAAACATGAACGTTATTATCAACGTTTAACAATACGTGCACATAATGGTAAAATAATGTATTATCTTTTATCAAATAATTATCAAACAATATTATTTGATAAAATTAATTCACAATGGGAATTAGAAGAAAATACATTACAATTTCTTAAAATGATTAATAATATATGTATACGTAAAGAAAAAGAATTATTAAAACGACATATGCAAATATTTTTACCACATTTATGTACATATTTACCATCATTACGTTTAATTGAAGATAATCGTTTAACAATAAATTTAATTGAAATATATAATAATCATTTAATGTTACCAATAAGAAAATATTATGAATTACTTAATGATAATAATGATAATTTATTAAATATATATCAATTAATACAAAATGAATATTTTTCAAATAAATATTTATTACATCAATGGATATTAAATGAATATTCAAATGCAACAGGATATTTTTCATTTCGAAAAATTTTTACTATATCAATAAGTTTTTATTCAACATTAAATTATTTATTTGGTTTTTATATGTATACAAATAATCAATTAAATATACAACGTTCAATAGGAAATATAAATCCATTATATCTTAGATTACAATATAATTTAAATAAACAAGATCAAAATATTTTTATAACACCAAATATTAATACATTTATTAATCGTTTTGGAAAAACTGGACCATTTATAGCAACTATTTTATCAACATTAACATCATTAGCACAACCAAAATATCAAATTATTGAATATTTAAAAATTTTTTATAAAGAAGATATACATATGAAAGTAAATAATTTTATTATTATTTCATTAATAATAAGAATTATTTTTTATCGAAACAATTCATTTCAATTGAGAAAAAAAAAACTTTTCTTTTTTCGAGTAATAATCATATTCTCATTGTTTAAATGTAATTGAATCTTGAAAGATAGAAAGAGATTAGTACGATATATGAACTGATTTGGTTCTATTTCATTGACATATTTTATACAATAGTATTGTATGAAAAAAAAACAAATCAATGCAATTTGTATTCCAGTAGATAATTGTAATAATAATAGAAATGAGAACATAAAATTTAATTGTTCATAAAATAGGAGTAACAAAATATTAATATAATTTTTTACTAATCTTATTAAAATATTCATTAAATTGACTAACAACATTTTCTACATCGTTTTATTAAATCAAGAAATCATTGATTCCGAAAAATAAGTTTTTTGATTTTATAGACGCTTGTGCATACTGTTGTCAAGCTATTTCATCGTAGCCATATTGAACGCATAATCTTTCTTTAATTTATCAATCACTAGATATAAGTTTAGGTTGGAGATGGCAATATTTCCATTAAATCGGTGCTGCCAGTTCTTCAATCCGAATATGTGTAGGGGCATGTGCAGAAGTAGAGAAGTCTAATACCTACACTCATATCCACTAATCGAAAACATTTCTCTAATCTTTTTTCTTTTTGCCTGATAATAACGTTCGTTTTAAAAATGTCGGGTGGTGTCATTACTGTTTAGTTTATTCTTTTCTTTCCAAGACAGAATTTCTCTAGTAAAATTCTAGAATTGTTCAGAAAAAAAATTGTATCGATGAAACGTGAAGATACCAAAGGAACTATTCATAGGTTACCTGTTTTTTTTTTAATAAACGGATATAACTGACATGAAGAATATTTGAAACCACAATACATACATTGGACTGATTAAGAATACGACAATCATATTGATTACATCGTTTCATTTAATAATGGAAAAATGTATATTGTAACTCAAAGAAATTTAAAATATGATTAGCTTATGACGTGCACGGACTGAGATATTCAAATGTATAGTGTATGAAATTCAAGAAAAAAGAAATTTTACGAAAGTCAAAATTTCAGATCTATTCCTTCTATTTTTAAAAATTATGATATCCTGGATTTTTCTCGTACCATTTCTTTTTTGTAGTTGACACATACTTTTCTTATGTAATTCAACGAGCTCTGTTCAACCATGAAAAAAAAATCCTACTAAAGATTTGAATTATTGGCATATTTCATACGCTACAAATTCGAATATCTTAGTCCGTGCACATCATAATGTGCTCATATTTAAAAATTTGTTAGTTTGCTAGTGAAACTTTTAATTCGGCTCGAATATGTTCAGAACAAAAGTATCTATTTCAATTTCATAAAGATCATCTTTAGTGTTCTTGTTGATGTTTAATCTCTCTAAAAAAAAAATTTTATTTTATATCTCAAATATATTTATCTATTCTATTTTAGCATCCAGAATTAACACAGAAAGAATGTGTTGATCTAGTTGAAAATATTGCTCGTCAATTAGAAACAAAATTGAATCGTATGTTTACATATATTCACAAATTGTTTATCTAATTTTTCTTTCAATTTAGAATTTACTGATATTGATGTATCAAAAAGAATAGTTTCTGAACTTGTTGAAAATTCTACAGATATAAATCAACTTTCACGTCTCAATCCACTCTATTATCCTTGGTTATAAGACAAATAAAATAAACCGGTTATTATCATTGACACATTTCTTACTTCTATTGTTTGTGTATGTGTGTATGTCGTTATATATAAACACATGTTATAATGTGTTGAATATAATATTCGTTAGTTCCTGGTTTTTTTTTTTTTGTTTGCTCATTGTTATTATTTTGTATAGGATAAAGAACAAAGTGATTAAAAAGAAAACAATGAGATAAAACATGATGATTTACGCGATATTTTGTTTTTCTTTTCTTTTAAGATTTCAGATCATGAATTCAAACGATCTTGTTAAAAATATTCTTAAACATGATATTGATGAACAAGATAGAATATTAAAATCAACAGAAGTTATTAAACCATGTCCTGTCGATATTGATCTTGGTAATTTATTGGTTTGGGATTCGAATATTATTGATCAACAAGCATATAAGTATGTAATTAATTATTCAACAAAAAAAGAAAACATGTATAATAGATAAAGATAAGAATTAATACTGACAGAATAAATTAGTAAATGATCAGAAAAATTACTTTTACTAAAGTTATTCTCAAATGAAATGTTTTTACGCATTTGAATCATTAAATTTATTATGGATTTTGTTTTTTTTTGTCAGAGCAAATCGGGATGAATATATTAAAAATACAATGCGTGATAATATGCAATTATTTGTCAATGCTTTATGGCAGGTATGTTAATTCGATTTTTGATATAAGAGATTTTAAATATTTCATTTTAGGTACCTATTGAACGACATGATAATGCTATTGTTGCAAAATTACCAGAATCAAAAACAATTGTACCACGAGAAAAACCAGTTCGTTTATAATTTGATAAAATTTTTCAATATAAAAGTAATCAATATATAATTTAGGTTCCTAAACCAAAACCTTTAACTAAATGGCAAAAATTTGCTCAAAGTAAAGGTATTGTCAAACAAAAGAAGAGCAAATTCGTTTGGGATGAAACAAAAAAAGAATGGGGTCGTCGTTTTGGTTATAAAAAAGCTAATGATGATTCAAAACCTTGGCTTATTGAAGTACCAACTAATGCTGGTTTGTTATAAAATTATTTTTTGAATTACTATTTATTTAATTATTTATTTATTTATTTATTTATTCATTCAGATCCAAATGAAGATCAATTTGCTAAACGTTTATCAGCTAAAAAAGAACGTGTAGCAAAAAATGAATTTCAACGTTTAAAAAATATTGCTCATGCAAATAAAGTAAACGGTAAGAATTAAAAAATGTGTATTTATTTATTTATAATTACTGAAATGAATATAATGAAATATATGTTAAATTTATCTTTAATTTCAATCAGTAAAATGAAAGTTTTTGATTCAAAAGACAAATTTCTCTTCTTTTCAGAGTTTTTTTTCTATAGAATGAATTATCAGAAAAATCTGAAATCTTCAGAGCAGATATATCTTTATTAGTAAAACTTTTCTACAGATATTAAATACCATTTCGTGTAGATATTTTTTCCTACTTTCCTTTTATCATTTTCCATTCGAATAAAATACTAGAATTATTAGAACCCCCTTTAAAATGTATATTTTTTCGACTAGAATTTTCTTTATAATGCCTCAAAAAAACTAGCGATACATCGTATTTTGAAAAGAAAAGTTCGAATACCTTAAATGCTTTCTAGTATTTGTAGGGAAATATTTCAGCTCGATTTGACGAACTATGCTGGAGAAATGAGAACGATTCTATAGTTTTTAGAATTTGTTTAATTAATTGATAAATTGAAATAAAGAAGAAATATTATCAATTATTCATAGACAAAATAATTCGATGGAAATTTTTTTCGTAACAACTCAAGCATATCGATGGCTCGCTTCTTACGAGCACTATCAAATTGTATATCAGTATGACTTTTTTTTATCCAGTCTAGTTTTTTTTAAAAACAAAATCATTTTATTGATTTCAACTGAAAACTGTCTGAATAAGAGAGAGAACGTTCAAATTTAAAATTATATTAAAATTTATTTTTGAATTGGTTCATACGTATTAGAAAATTCGAACTATTTTCTATAGCCTATATTAAAGTATTCTTATTAAAATATATTATAGTTAAACTGTAATAATTATTTGAGATGACAAAAATTCTGATTCAAAAACTGATTATTTTGATTTGCAATTGTTTCTTGTTAGAGAAAAATTTGCGAAGGAATCTCTCAATTATTAAAAATGTTTTTATATGTCAAACTATTTGACGTACATTGCAAAAAAAGAAGTTTCTAGAAGAAATCATAGGTTATGTTTCTAAAAACATAGACTTTCTACAGTGCTTCAACATTGAAATATAGTAGAAACAAAACGATAGAAATTCAACAATTACTTCAGTAATTTATCAGATCATTGCAAAAATTTTTTTTTTATCATCATCATTATATGTTTAATCAAATCAGACAATTGTAATGCTCATAAAAATAGCATAGGAGAAAAGACAAATTTCTTATTGAAGTGAAAAAGTCAAGGGTTATTCGCCAGTAGTCGACTTATATGAAGATAATCATTCATAAAGAAGAACTTTGAAAGAGTAAATTTTTCGTTGGTGAATTTTAAAAAGTTAGATAGATTAATATTTGCAGCTGAGACTGTTTATTTTCATCCATTGTTCATATTTCACTTCAATAATATTCATACTGATTAATGCAATTGATATTTCATTTGCCTTGTGTATGAATGAGAAACATTATTGAACTGAAAAAATGTTTTGCTTTTAGTTTTTATCGCAATGAAACTTACAATACACTTGTAGAGTTTTATGATTGTTATCAGTTAGAAAATGCATAAATCTACTCCGAGAAAAATGATTAAATACTAGCTGAGTAGTTCATTTTTGAAGTCTGTTGTGTTATGATCAATCGAATTCGTTTATTATTATATTAATCTTATGTTTCAATGATCAATCTATATTTTAAAATCAAATTTTAGTTATAAATATATTCATAGTCTACATCAAATATTTAACTCTATTAATTATTAGAGATATGAATAATTAAATTATATTGATAAAATATATGAGAATAAAAATAAATTTTATTTTAGTTCGAAATGATGGTGCTCTTATTAATAAAAAATCATCAGCCAATGATGTGAGTGAAGATTTCATTATTTAGAAAAGAAATTTCTTTGTTATTCTGTTTCTTCTTCTTTTTTTTTTTTAAGATGAAAAAAGCTTTAGCAACAGCAAAATATTCTGATGCAAGTATGGGACAATTTTCTGAACGTGCTACAGTTGATGAAGAACGACAAACACGTGGATTTAGTAAACGAAGAAAATATGAATCTAATTTGGGTAGTTTGAAAAATGAAAAAAATAAACAATTGAAAATTTTCGACCAAATGAATTCATCAACAACGAAATAAATATTGATTTATATTGTTGTTTTTGTTGTCTGTTTTGATGAAATGTTTTCATTTGTTATCTTTGGTACTTACATAAACTAAAGTTCCAATCAAGAATAAAGAAACTTTTAATATCAAATATTCAAATTATCAAAGAAAAAGAGATGTAAATCTATTCTTTAAGTAAACATGTTAACTTGATTTTATGTTGAAATACATTTCTCAATAATTTATACTAGAACTTATATCAATAAGAATACAAAACAAAAAAAAAATGAGGAAAATAATATTCTAAAAGTCTACAACATTTTGCTTCTTTGTCAGTGGATGCAATTATAATTTTAATTCGAAGAACTCCAATTAATATCTCACAAAAATCTATAAAAAATATTCGTTATGATTGATACTACATCAACTCTTTGACGACAGGATTTTTTTATGGAACGTATACGCCAAGAGAAACAACAGGTTTCATGAAGAATCATTGAATTTCATAAGATTCTGGAATTGCACAGTCGACTACAATGACACACAATCTTATAGATGATACTATGTGATAGTAGAAAATTAAGGAAAAACGTGAATACTCTTATAATCTAGTGTAGAAAGATGATCGTACAAGTTGAAATTTGCGCAAAAAAATCAAAATATATGTATATCTTCCCCGTCTTCAAAGGATTAACAAACTTATGAAGATTTTTTATCTAAAATTAACATGAACAAGTAATCAAAAAAACCAAATCGAGTTACTCCTGATCAATCAATGGCTAGTATTAGTATCATTATTGTTGTATTTACTCAACAACTAGATGAATTTTTTAGCTATAAAAAGTCGAAACAAATTAGACGTAATGGATGAATAACAGGTAAGATGTGGGAAACGCAGAATTTGAATGCATTGTATTTTTATTTTTGTTTTGTGGATGGTTTGATCGAGTTTAACGTGCTGGTTACAAATATATACTTTTTATTTCAATTAAGTCACTTTGTTACTGGAAAAAAGTCAAGAAACCAATAACATCATGTGTACAGCTAAAACTCACTTTTTTTCCATGAAAAACTTAATTAAGAGTACATTGTTTTGCAATATGATGAAATAATTTGAAATAAAAGATGAGAAAACATTTGTTCATATTTGTGACACAGAATGTTTGTTACGCTTATCAATTAGTAAGATCTTGTTATATTTGATGTTTTACTTTTGGAAAAATAAGAAACGATAAAATAGTACAAAATTTATTTAATAATAAGTATTTATATGTGTATAAGCTGTCACATTAGAATACTACTACATGACACTTCTTGTTCATACAAAGTAAATTTTTAC